GCCAGGCCCCCCCCCCCCCCCCAATCCGCACAATGAGCGAGCCGAGAGGGGCGCGGTGGGGGGAACAACTGCCACACACCCAGGCGGGCGTGGGTGGGCAAGTCCTGGGACCTTGTCCTTTTCCGCCGGGGCCGAGGAGCGGGCGCAGGCGGCCCCGGGGCAAAAAGAAATTCCCATACCGGGACTCGAACCCGGGTCTCGTGGGTGAGAGCCACGTATCCTAACCACCTAGACTATATGGGAGTCGTATCCTATGGGGAGGCATGTGGCCATAAGAAGCTGGCGGCTGGTGGCCAGGCGCGTGACAAGGGGCAAAAGTGTGATTGGAGTGGGACTCGAACCCACGCGGTTTCCCACCAGTGCCTTAAACTGGCGCCTTAACCACTCGGCCATCCAACCTGCTCATGGACAGGCACGAGGGGGAATGCATTTTAGGTCACCTGCTTTTTCTCGCTCGGGCGTCTGGGCGGGGTGAGTGCGGGGGGGTACTGGTAAAGCAGATGCTGGTAGTACTTAGGTGCCGGGAGGCCGGTCCTCCTTGTGTCCGAATGATGTAGATGGTTATCATATCTGTCTAACACACAGAATGTCCCAGGTTCGAGTCCTGGTTCGGACAGAACTTTCCTTTTTGGCCCGTTGCACAGTCTGCCCGACCGGTGTCCGGCAGGAGGGCAGCGCCGGAGAGACCCGGCCAAAGACCGGGGCGAAAAGAAAACAACCTGCCCCCGGCACCTTGGCCTTCTTGTCGGGCGCGCGAGGAGAGCCCGTCCAGCGCGGGGCAGAGGGGGGGCCTTGGGCCGTGGGCGGGAGTCTGTCGGCGCCGGATCCGCAACGTTGGCACCTGCCCCTTCCCAAGGGTGCGGGGCCCGAAGAAGCCCGCCCAGCCGAGCGAGAGAGAGAGAGAGAAGGGCGGGGGGCGGACGCGCCAGTGTTGACTGGGGCGGGGGCGGGCCCGGCGGAGTGTGTCTAAGTGAAGAGTGTCCCGGTCCCCCCCCGGGCATCGGCGCGCCGCCCCCTCTCGACTGAGGCGCCCTGGCCGGGGGACGAGAAAAGACCCTGCGGTGAGCCTCGCGCCGACCTCAGCCCGGGCATCTCCCCTCTTCGCCCTGCCTTCGCCCTCCCCTCCTCCCTCCTCCCTCCTCCCTCCTCCCTCC